GTTTCATCGGCTAGAATGGCAACCTCACCAAAATTATCAATCGAGGTTGCTATCGAAACAGAAGCACGATGATCGATAGTAAAGTTAATGGAGTCTATAACATCGGTGCTTGTCGTAGTGGACCGGTAGGTGGCATTGAGAGGCCTTGTTGCCGCGAAGGTCGCTAGTCTTGGGCACACCCGATAGAGAAGGTCCAAAAGAGTAGGATACTTCGTGGTATGAGGAATCTCTTCCTTAACCAAGTAGAATAGAGCCTCAATGTACAGCTTCATACCCTCTTTCTCGGTACTCAACTGGTCGAGCTTTGTCTTTGACGCGACTGCCCTCATAAGCTCACCAGCATTCCTATAATGCCCAGTGCCAGCGGCAACGTCGGCACGTGTGACAAGGGCTTTATGGGCCGGATCGTTCGCATGACTAGCAGCCTTACGCCCCGGCTGCTGAGTCTTGATTACTAGCCGGCCAACAAAAGGCTTGGTGGAAAAATCAGCAACCACAGTCTGTGGTTGCTGATTTTTCCACTCTGTGGTCCACAGAGTCTCCCTGCAAAAAGGCCGGGCGGCATATGCGGCAGTAGAAGCCTTCGGGAGTTTCAATCAACCAATCCTGGTGCTCAGATCTGAATGTAGTAACCTTTCTCCGTTTTTGATCTGGCTGATCTCCGGGCTCAATGGCATCTATGACCGGCTGAGCATCCCCAGTGGAAGTAGACTCCAGATTAGTAGGGAGTTCAACATGAGCCGGAATGGGACTTTCAGGGACAGGTTGAGAGGACGAGGACGATGAACCACCCTTAGACTTCATGTTCTCGAAGTACTCTTTGATGTTCTGCATGCTGCAAAGTTGAAAACGCTAGCTGACACTAAAGGCGCATCCAATGAGGTACATCTAAATGGTGGCACTCAAAAGACTTGCCTCGTGCATGCTGCACGCATGCACCTTCTACTATGCGCGGCACAAGGTTCTCGCGCGCAAAGACGATCGATGCTAAGCTCATTAACTATAGGACTTATATAGAAGGTTCGCAAGGGTTTGAACAACCTTATAGACTCTCATGTTGCGACTGCGACCCTGAGAGGAAGATATAAGGGGTTCTCGCCTAGAACTTCTTGGGATGCATTAATATAGTCTAGCTGCTAGCAAACTGGATCTGTGTGCGTATGCGTGCAGTGCACCCCACGCACCAGGTGCGTCGCACCTCAAGTGCGCACTAGTCGAGTGCACTACCGCACACGATCCCCGCACTCTGGCGCCACCTCAGCTATCATGAACGCACTCATGAGTGCATGGCGCGCACCTGGATAAAGCAATCAATACGAGAATTGAATTTCAATTCTCGTAACGGATTATACACCTGTGCGGTTAAATTGAATCCCATATTGCGGTTTTCGTTCGAGCGGATGGCTCTCGAAAACCGCCTCCTTTCCCCCTCACCAAAATAACGTTTGGGGGATAGATCCGCGATTCGCGGACCGCGAACATTCGTCATTGGAATGTTTTCTGCGACGTGCTAGCTAACGAGCTTCTCTAAAGAGGTTTAAAATAGTGTATCTGATGGGACATACCGTATGTAAATTGATTACTGATGAGCAACTGAAATTTCCCGACTGAGGCCGATTCCCTCATTTTTCTGGCAGCAGGTCTACTTGGGGCGTGAAGATGAGTTTGCGTGCAAGGCTTCATCCGGCGACTCCACCCCGGATTATCAAGAGTATGATCGGTCGAGTATAACTGTGCTATAGTTCTATCATTATCTGAGTTATCTCGATTCTTCTTCTTCGTTTATTCTATCTTCGTTCGGTTCGGTTAGATGATCGGTCTATCGACCTTCGGCTTAACTGTCTTGACTCACCTCCGTCTTATATTTGTGGTATCGATCGACAGTAACTAAATCCGCTACAAGTACCACCACCGTATCACTAAGTTAGCTGGTATACTACGAGAGCTGGAGTCGAGTT